TTTCAACCGTTCTAATTAATTAAAGAATCAGCACCCATTTAGTCTAATTGAGAACTGTTTTCCAGAGGTGATGTTCCCATCAATCAGGGTGAGTGACAGCTCCCATTTGACTTGGATTGCAAACATTTAGGAGCTGATCCGGTATAGCTCCCTCTCTTTCCTTGTCTGCAATATCTCTCTCCCTGACATGGTTTTTGTCCCCTCTCTAGCTGTGTTGCCTAGTGGATAGGAGTTCCAGCCCAACGGGAAGATGATGTGAGAGGATACGGAACCACTTTCAATACCCATTGGTGTCCCAAACCTCTGATGTGGCAAATTCCCTTTGAAGGATGTCCATGTAAACAGACTTTTCTGCATCTTGTAGCCGTGAGTTCCGCAGTTTCACTATGTGTGTGTCCCCAGATCATTCCCAAGGAATATGGCCATCTAAAGCAATAATTTAAGTTCTCCACCACATTTTCCTAATTATGCAACCTAGCTGTTACTGTGTGCTACTGCATCAGGCACCGAAAACACCACATCATGGAATATCAGTTGGTGTGGAATACAAAACAGACATTAGCATTTTGTTTCCATGTGTCACCCTTGGGCTTCTTTTTGGCACATCTGGTTGACTATAATGCAATAAAACAAGGCACAGAACCTTGACAAATGTCAGTTTCCACACACACACCGAGTGAGTCCAGAAAGGCTCACTGACCTTTAAAAAAGAAACAAACAACCCATCCAAGGCTGAATTTTGTCTGGTTTCCCCAAAGTCAAAGGGCTTTGTGTGGATTTTCGGAAAAATAGGGCAAGCTGTAGATGTGTGTGTGACAAATGCACTCTGAAGTATATTGAGAAGTTTGATAAAAGCTTGAAGTCATTTGGTGGGAGATGGTGCCACCCTTTCGACAGCTCCACTAAAGTTCGGACCAAAACCCGGAGCGTAAAACTGCCACACTTCCCACTGACCTTGGAGCCACCCCGAAATCTCTTGATTTCTTCCCCAAGGTGAGGGCCCTTGTAAAAAAAAAAAAAACTCCACTTAAGAGGCGTGACGGAGTCCAGTTTTAAAGCACCCTGGCTTGCTTTATGATTCACCATTTCTCCCCAAAAGAGAGGCAGTTAATATAATTGTCTGGCCACGCGAGCAGCTGGAAATTTCGTAGCCAGGAGATGTATAATCAGGCGCGGGAGGACTGGGAGGAGAATTTAAGTGGAGGTTAAGCAAATGCTTTACTTTAATAACATGTAGAGGCAGCCCGGGTAGTTATAAAGAGGATAAAATAAATATTGTACAACGAAGCGCCGGAAAGGGATGTTTTTATCACCCTGGAAAAAAAACCCATTTGCTATTTGCTTTCAATTTAGATTTTTCCCCCCACCTCTTCCTCTTTTTTTTTTTAACTGAAACCTCTGCCTTTTATATGCAATACAACGTGAGCAGGAGTGAAAAATGGCCGGGCTTATCCGTAACTTTTCTGAGAAGGGTTTCTTCCTTCTGTCTCCTGCCGGCATCTCCCCATCCTCATTTTTTTGAGGATGGCACATCATTCAACCCAAAACCAAGTATCTGCTACATCTTCCTTACTCCTCCCTCTCGGTTTCGCTCTCCCTCTCCCTCTCTCTTAGAACTGGACTTCGGCCAATCTGCGAGGCTTAAAAGCTTTCTCCAAAATGACAGGGAGAATTCATTAATTAATAAATAAAACCTTCTCCCGGGAGACGAATCTGCCGGAGACCGTCTTTCCCGTTCCAAGGAACCATTAAAATAAAATAAAATAAATCTGTGAACTGTGGGATTTCTTGAAAAGGGTTTCCAGTCAGGAAAATCCATGCATGCCTTTGGGGATGATGGGCCTTCTAATCTGCCCAATGGGATGTTTTTGGGGGTTCCTACTCTCTTCCACACACCATGCTAGGTTGGGTACATCCTGAAAAGGCAGTATTCTGTGGAAAAGACCACCAGGCTGGGAAGGGTGGACGGCAGCAAGAAAAGAGGAGCACCCAACACAAGATGGATTGACTCTCAAAGGAAGCCGTGACTTTTGAGTTTGCAAGAGCTGAGCAGGGCTGTGGAGGATGGTTGTTTTGGAGACGGCTCATTCATGGGGTTGCCATAGATTTGGGGACGACTCGATGGCAAATAACGACAATAACAACAACAACACACTCCATAGGCTTAGTGAGGTGGTTGTCTACATCTCTATCACACCACCCTGTAAGGGGCAGGCGGATCCGACACCAGTGAATTGGCAAATCCGCTCCAGGTTTTAGTCCAACGGAAGAGGGCCTTTCCCGGTGGCTGCTCCTTTGGACTCTGGAACTCCCTGCCACTGGAGGCCCAGATGGCCCCGTCTTCGCTCTCCTTCCGCCTACAGGCCAAGATGACCTTCCTCTCCAGGCAGACTTTCCCTTTAATGACTGCTGCCCCAGAGGGGTTTCTTTTTAATAAATGGTTGTGCCTTATCGCATTGAATCGGTTTTTGGTGTTGCTTTTGTTTATCGTTTTCAATCTAATGTTTGTTTAATTCTTTTTATATATTTCTACGCTCACTGTTTTAGCTTTAAACAATGGGTTTTAATCAAAGTCACCCCAAAGGGAGAAATGGAAAAAATGGGAGATACCATTCATAAACTGGGGGATAACAAAGCCAGCCCTAAGGGGGGAAAATGGGAGTTACCATTCGTAATCGGAGAGGGAATAACAGAGCTACCCCTAAAGGGGGGAAACAATGGGAAAATGGGAGATACCATTAATGAGCTGGGGGGACTAATTTAGAGAGGGGGACAGAAAAACACAGGCCAGAGAAGACGAAAGAACCACGCCTAAAGGGGAAATGGGAAAAGGTGTTATGCAATTATTAATACAGTATGGGGGAGTGATGCCGATGGGGAGAGAGGAAGTCAAAGAGAGAAGAGAAGGCGACGGAGCCACCCCTAAAGGGGAATGGAAGAGGCAAGAGCCAAATAAGGAAGAAAAGGCGGGAAAAAAGGAGGCGGAGACTAGATTTGGAGGGAAGCCGAGGAGGAGCGGCCTGTGGAGAGATGGCTGGTGGAGAAAATGGCCGGCTTGGGAGGAAAGGGGGTGGAAGTTCCAGGAATGTGAGGGGAAAGTGACCCCGGGACAAGGGAGTTGGGGGGGTCCTCGAGCACCCCAAGCCAGGGGCAGGAAGGCGCCGTGTTGGGGGAAGAGGGGTTGGCAGGAGAGAATATGCCAGGCGTGAGGGAAAACTGCTGAGGGAAAAAGGAAGAGGATTTTATTTATTTAGGATATTTTTCTCCTTTATCCCGCCTTTGTCCTTGGAAAAGGACCCAAGGCGGCTTACATTGTAGGAAAAGTCAGTGTTTAAAAGCTTGAAAACAGTAAGTATGCAAACAATTAAAAAGAATTAAATGATACGAATCATTAAATGAGGTTAAGGAATAAATTATATTAAAGCGGTCAATAAAATCCAGAGTCTGATCCCTGTTCAGGAAAAAAAAGCAACCAGCAAAAAGGGGATTCAAAGAATAACCCCAAGAAAGTGGCAAGTGGAGGAAAAGATAAAGATGTGGGGGGGGGGAGAGAAAATCTCCGTTTCACTTTTTTTTTGCATTCAAGTTTTTGAGACTTATTTTTAAGTTTTCCATCACGGATGATCCTTTTTTTCCATCTTGTAGAGAAAATGTGTGTAGCGTGAGGATGGAGGGAAGATCCATCAGTTCTTACATTTTCTTAGATTCAACATTCAAAATAAAAACAAATCTTCAGCTTCTTTCTGTTCCAGCTACTCAAAAAAATAGACAGATTTGGGCAACACCTTTGACAATGGAAAATTCATCCCCCTGTTTTTACTGGCTTTTTGGAAATGGCTGTTCCCAACCTAGAGAGGACAATAAACTTAACAACTCTTGCTGAAGCCACTTCTTACCAATAGAGACCCTTTGAATTTGAGATCTCCAGAATATCCTGTTGTTAACAGTGCAGCTTAGGTCTTGCAAATGCAAGAGCGAGGCTTCCTTTTTTGAGTCCATCCATCTCCAATCTGGTTTTCCTCTTTTCCTACTGCCTTCGACTTGACCCAATATTATTGTCTTCTCCAGAGAGTCTTGGCTCAAAACAAAAAAGGTGACCATTCTCATTGAGCACTGCAAATGGGTACAAATGTACTGGGTATTCAATGTCAGATCACACGTTAAGAGGCACGATGCCTGCTTTTATAAGATTGTCCCTTAAGGCACGCAAATCTTTCAGTGCCACTGTGCGAGAGACATGAAACATGAGAACAAAGCGATGCTCTCTCCCCACTACTATTAATTTTAAAACATGATTAAATGAATTTTGCAAATGTGGATTGAAGCAAACTAAAGAGACCATAAAGCTGCACTGATTCTACATACAGAATCAGCTTGCCAACGGATTTGCCTCCCAAATCAGACTTTTAAAATGTGAAATGCGCAAAGCTCCCTACCTGGATTGGCAAACCTTTCTATTATGTTGAAGCATCCAGGAAGCGTTAAAACGGAGAATCTTAAGAGGTCCAGTAAAAATTTTAAGATCCTCATTTCATTCTGTCACATGGTGAAAAACAGTGAGTTGTAGAAAGCTTTTTTTAAAAAACACCAAGATAAAGCGAAGTCCTGGCTCTCTAAAAGTAGCAGAATAGATTTAACTTGCTTAAGTAATGGACCAAGTAATGAACCTATTTTAAGTCTATTAAATCATGTCCCTAAACAGGTCAAGCAGAGGGCAGGACATTCAAAATCTGCTCCTTAAATACTTTAACTATTTCTCTGGAGCATCTGAAGCGAGGGCTTTAAATAAACCCATTAAACAAGAGTTCTTTCTTTCTCTAGGCAACCCTATTAAGCTCAAGATTCCTCTTCCCAGTTTGCCCAGCTTAATGAAACATAAACCTTCCACGGAAAACAGTGCGCCAGCTCATTACAACCCCTTATGAAACGCGACAGGACTTTTGCCAGAAGAGAAAAATAAAACAAATTATTTCTCAAGACACTCTGCTTGTTTTCTCTAGGACAAAATACCAAGGCAGGAGATATATCCCAAGGGGGCTTGGAGGCTCGCCAGAAGGGGGATCTTGACGAGCTCATTACCTGGAAGGAAGTCTCAGCCACACGTAAGCAGAGCCTTGCCGTGTTTTCACATTGCTTCACCTCCTTCCATCTAAATCGAACGTGACCTTGGTGGCAGAAATGGGATTTTTCTCCTTTTACTGAAACAGGTGGGCATAAGCAGTGTAGAAGAGGGGCGAGCCAGTTTGGATTGCTGTCCATAGCTGATTGGTTTAACTTCACCCTTGCCTGTGTTGCTTGCCATTTCTTCTTCTTACTCTTAATCTGCCTCTTTTGGCGAACGGCTGGACTGCATGCTGCATCTCTGTGTTGTTGCCCCTTGTGGCAAACTACTGAACTGCAAGTGGTGGGAGCTGAGGAGAAGAGCTAGACCAGTGATTCCCACCAGCCTTGGGTAACCAGATGTTCCTGGTCTATTACTTCCAGAAATCCTGGCCAGCAGAACTAGCAGTGAAGGCTTCTGTGACTTCATCCAAGAACATCTGGGGACCCCAGGTGGGGAACCACTGAGCTAGACTCTCTTTCCCCATCAGACTGCCCACTGGCTGTGCCTAGGCAAGAAGGCACTTTAAAGGACTTCCTGCCCCAGCCGAAGTGTTCCTGAGCAGTGGGGATCGGAGAAGATGACCAAAGACATGGTGTTCAGGAGACATGCTGTTTTACCTTATGAGAAAGGTAAGTAAGCACAAACATGATGGAAGTGTATGAAAAGAAAATGCACGGTGTGGAGAAACTGAAATGGGGAGAAACTTTTTGGCATGTCCAGAGGTCCTACTCTCCTGCAGAATCTGGACCAAGTGCTTCCTGCAATAATGAATGCGTTCCTGTTTTAAGGACACCCTGGCCAGAATTTGTTTTGGTGATCTGTACATACATCAGTGAGATTGAGTTAGACTGTGGCATTCACTGCCACAAGACTGAGTGACCACAGTGAACGGTTCCTAGCTAATGAGGCTGTTCTTCATGTTATGAGTTGCATGTCCAACTGCAGAATGGATAAGTCCCTAGAAATGCAACTTAGGCCTTTTTAATTTGTGGCAATGGGCTACGGCAAGCGATGCAAAATTTATGCATGAGGAAATCAGCCGCTAGATTCTATCCAGAAATTACGTACATAGAGCTTCTACCACAGGTTGAATAATGCTGGAAAGGTGCTTTTACTGAATATGTTGACGAATTATCTTTATGCAGTGTGGGAGCCCCTGAATCCATAGCCTATACATTTTATTTATTTGTTTGTTTGTTTGTTTGTTTGTTTGTTTGTTTGTTTGTTTGTTTGTTTGACTTATATCCCGCCCATCTGATAAGTCTATACCACTCTGAGCGGTGTAATGTTTTTAGGGAGAAAATGTTGCACCCCGTCTTGATCTAGTTTGGGGGCAGGTCCATTTAAGATCATCTGGAATTGCGTTACCTGGAATTGTGGAAATGCTTTGCTTGTCCTTGTCGCAAAAATTGCCTCCTTGACAGGGGTTGGGTTTGATTATCCATAGGGTCCCTGCCATCTTTAAGATGATGATAGTGATGATGACTGGGGCTCAGTCCTAGATATTTGTCGAGATGGGGGTCTATGAAGCGTTCAGTCACATAATGTCTGCTTTGTTGTTTTGTGGGTCTGGGATCTTTTGTGCTTGATTCATCTATAAATATTTGATGTTACCGTTGTTGATATGGAGAGGTTTTCATAGCAAAATCCTAGAATCCTGTAAAGCACTGGTTCTTAACCTTGGGTTACTCAGATGTTTTTGGACTGCAACTCCCAGAAGCCTTCACCATCGGCTCTGCTGGCTGGGGTTTCTGGGAGTTGCAGTTCAAAACCACCTGAGTAACAAAGGTTAAGAACCACTGCTGTAAAGCAAGCAAAGAGAGATGCAGGGCAAGCAGAAGGATGCATTCCTCCTCCAGATAGTATAGAGCAGTGGTTCTTAACCTTTGTTACTCGGATGCTTTTGAACTGCAACTCCCAGAAACCCCAGTCAGGACAGCTGGTGGTGAAGGCTTCTAGGAGTTGCAGTCCAAAACTCCTGAGTAACCCAAGGTTAAGAACCAGTGGTATAGAGTTAGACTGTGGAACTCACTGTCACAAGGTCTAGCGAATGCTGCCAACTGGACCGCTTCAAAAGGAGTGTGGATGAATTCTGAATAGTGAGGACCATCACTAGCTACTAGTTAAGGACAGCTGTGGACCATCTCCGTCTCAGACACAGAGTCTCAGGGGTGGGTTTTCCATGGCTGTATCTCAAGATGAAGATGGATGGGAACCAAAACAGAACATTGAACTAGGTAGACCTTCAGTCTGTCATGTTCTGATGTCCTTAGGGTTCTCCTGAGTTTTGGCGTGTCCCTAAATGTTTTTGATTTGGTTCGGTTTGGGCTTCCAGCCAGCTTCTTGAACTTATTTCTGACCCGTGCTTTGCATTTGAATCACCTTTGGTCCTGTTTTTGTTGACTTTGGGTTCCCAGTTTGTGGCTTATCTCATTAGGAGCCCCATGAGACGACAGATCTTAATGAATGTGGGTGACTCTAATTTCATTTGGAGTGTAAACCCACTCCATGTTTTACTCCAAGCTCATCAAGAACTGCCCAAGTTGCTGAACCCCATCCTCCCATTTGGTTCAGCCGCCCACGTAGCTGTGAAACCCTGGCAGGGCTTTGCTGCTCTGCTGAGCTCGGAGCCAGCACCCTACACAAGCGGATCCTATGGAGAGGTAAAACCCAGTCCTGTCTCTGCACTCATCTGACTCTCTACCTTTTATCTTGGCATGTCAGGTTAATCAAAGATAATAAAGGATATTTAACTGGTTGACGACTGCCTCTCTTTCTTCTTGTCTCTTTCTCTCTCCCCTTCATGCTTTTTCCCCCAAATGCTTTTTGACAGCTGGACTAAAAAAAAAAAGAGGAAAGGAAAAAAACAGATTTGACATTGTATTTCATCTACAAAGCAAATGTGACAAGGCTTTTCCCTTCATTGCAATCAGAAGATACAGAGGTGTTATTTTAATAGTCCCACAAAGGGGACCCCAAACATAGACACTTAGGAGTACATGGGAATTATTGTGTGTTTTTCAAACGTTTCCTTTACAGAGCAGGTATGGGAGAGAATCCAGCCCTCCAAAAAAACAGAGGTGGAGGGGGGAGAAGGTGCTCCTCAAGGCTCAGTGGACGTTGTAAAGGTGCTTGATGATTAACAACTGGTAGAGTGCTATGGGAGGATTAAAGGTGTTGCTAATAGCTTTTCTTTCTTTCTTTTTTTGAAAAAATCTGATTTCTCTTTTGCTTTTACACACATACACACAGCCAAAAGGAAAAGAGGAGAGAGAGAGAACGTGGAAGGGGGGAGGAGGAGGGCCAGGAAAGAGAGGCGAAATTACCAAGGAAACCAGAAATCAAGTGGGCTGCTTCTCATCGGGAGAACAGGCCAAGCAATCAAAGATTATGGCCGATTCTAATTGAAGGTTAATTTCTTATTTACCCTCCTGGAGAGGAGGGGTGTGTGTGAAAGAGTTTTCGACCACAAGGACCTCCAGAGGTATAGGCCTCACGAAGGCTTGGTAGGAGGGAGATATCTGCGTGGGTGGTGAGAAAATAATCAAGGGTCGCACAGAAGGATGGGATGAAACTGATTAGAGCTTGGAAGAAATTCGTTGTTGTAATGTGTCATTGAGTCGTCTCCTGTCTGTAGGGACCCAATGATTTCCAAATGGCCAGTCCTCTACAGCCCTGCTTAGCTCTTGTAAACTCAAGCCTGTGGCTTCCTTTGGGGAGTCAGTCCATCTCGTATTTGGTCTTTTTTTGCCCCTGCTGCCTTCAAATGTCTTCTCATGATGTGCCCAAAATAGGATTGACAGTAAAATGGTGTCGTCTGCATGTTTTAGATTACTGATGCTCATTCCACCAATTTCCACTCCTCCTTCATTTGAATCTAGTCTGACTTTCTGTATATGTTCTGTGTATAGATCAAACAGTTAAAGGGATAAAATGCACCTTTGTCTGACCCCTTTGCCTATAGAAACTGTTATGTCTATATTCTGTTCTAACCATAGCTTCTCATCCACAATACAAGTTACGCATCAGAACAATCAACCACTGAGGTACACCTATTTCTTTCAAACCCATTGTTTCTTATGAAAACAAGAAAACCAGAGGCTTTGCTGTAGTCTATAAAGCATAAACTGATCTTCTGAAATTCTTTGGTGCGGTACAGAAGCCAGCATATATTTGCAATATGAGCTTCAATGCCTCTTTCTTTTCAGAATCCAACATGAACATCAGACATTTCTTGCCCCATGTAAGGTCAAAGCCTTTGTTGCAGCACCTTGAGCATAACTTTGCTTGCATGGAAAATTAAATGGTCCTATAGTTACTGCACTCCTTGGCATTAACTTTCTTGGGAACTGGAATATATACAGTATACAGTATTGAATATTGCCAGTCTGGTGGTCATTGTTTTGTTTTCCAGATTTTTTGACAAACTCTTGTTAGGATTTTGACAGATTCAGTCTCTGTGGCTTGAAATACTTCTATCAATATCCCATCTACTCCTGGTGATTTCTGTCTTCCCAGTCCTTTCAGAGCAGCTTTCACTTCATTTTCTAGGACTGCAGGTTCTTCATCATAGGATTCCTCTTCAAAAGAGTCTATATTCCTTTTGTCTTTTCTGTATAAATCCTTCAATATACTGTTTCCACTTTCTCTTTATTTGATCTGATCGTGTGCTTCATTTAGCATTCCTAATTGAGGTTGAAATTTCCCTTTTAATTTCTTGAATCTTCTGGAAAATACTTGTTTTTTTTCCTCTTTTCCTGCCCACATGAGAAGGCGTTGGTTCTAGGGCCATTCAGTTGTCCTTCACAATGTTTGGAAACACTGGGAGACTACAAGATCCAGACTCCTCCAACCTTGGAGTTTGAGTGCAGAAGAGGACTTTTTCTGAACTTTGGTCGTCCTCTGAAGTGGGACTGGGGAAATTTGTAGGGGGAAGCGAAGTCCAGTTTTCAGATGGTCCAGGCACTCGAGGGCTTCCAAAGTGGGAAAAGGTGTGGCTAAAATGACTACCTCTGTAACCATGCTTTCTTTGGGCAGCAAACCTGACCTTTCTTACATTTTTTTTCTTTCCCCTCAAGCATACTGGGGGGGGGGGG